AAACATATATACATATATATATATACAAAAACTTGCGGTGTGATCCGCGACAGATCTTACAGATCTGACTACCTTCGCGTACGACGATAACTTTTACGCGAAACTTGCGTTGCGCATAATGTTTGGTTGTTTTTACTTGTGCATATATGTGATGAATACAATATTATATTCAAATACATTTTATACACGATGCTTGCGTACGGGATACTCCACGTATCATTTAGCATTTCATTGACGTCGCAAAATTTTTAATATAATTATAATATCTGTTGCTTCATCTTACCAATTGTTTCGTTATTTATTACTTTAGTGTCACAGAAACCGTAAATGTAAGTTAACAACACATAGACATCTTTTATTTTTTTCTTTTGTTTTCATTTTGTTCAGTGTACGCCAAAGAGATTTCTTTTCACGCGAGACTATCTTACAATCCCAAACTTCTCAAGAACAGATTGAAAAACAGCCTTTTACATCACAGAGAACATCCGCATCTTCTCAAGAACAGCTTTCTACATCCCAGAGATCATCCGCATCTTATCAAGAACAGCCTTCTACATCCCAGAGAACATCCGCATCTAATCAAGTTGCAATACAACATAGTATGCAATTAAGATTTCTTGATATTTTATATCTTGACGATCCACTTCTCTATAGATTCATTAGATATCATTTGTCTAATACTATAAGAATAGTATCCACACGTTATAGTACTGACGATCAGTTTAGAGGTCGTGGAAGATTAAGTAATATTGATAGTAGAGGTTCTGAAGATACTTTATATCTGAATAGTATTACAGAACACGCGATACGAGAATTCAGCTATCAACCGAGGATAGTTATTGAAAATGTTATAGGAATGTTCCTAGAGGAATGTAGGACTGTCAGCGAATTCCAAGCAATACTACGATGGTTGTGTGGTAATATTTGATTACATTTATCAAAATATAGTCTGTGTGACAAACAAGCTAATTATTTAAATACATTTTGTTTAACAGATTTAGGTGTACTACAACGACTACCAGAACACAGAAGTATAGAATGGAACGTATTTGACGAGATCGACTAAGAACCGAAATTTGCAATAAAAGAACAGTCAAAGAAGATACGTACTGTTTTTATTGTCGGTTCTTAGAATATATTCTTTTCATGCTTTTCTATAGTTTTATATACTCTATCGACGCGAGAAATGTGTTTCTTTTGAAATGTAATTATTTCGAAGTTGTGTAATAATATGCGAAGAGAAACGTAGTCGGGTGTTCGAAACTTTGATATTGACGTAGATATATATCAAATGATTATTAATGTTTTCTTCAAGCTCTAAAGCAGAGTCGGCGCAGTTTGCTTTTCAGTGTACTAGCAGTAATAGTTGAAGTCGTCATATTATTGGTTTTCTTCTTTTTTTTCGTTTTGTAGTTTATGAACAGATAACAAAAAATGCGAAGTTTGAATGCAAAGTGTTTGACGATTTTTATGTTTATATAAAGAACTTTAAATTTTAATAAACTATAGTGACAACTGGCACTGAAAGTCCCAAACACTTGTGCCAATTTGTCAATAAAATGTTATATTTGTGTTTAGTTACTTATTAAGATACAAAACGAAAAGAGCAGAAGTGATAGTGGTCGTGAAGATTTAAACTTAGAAAAAAGCGCACTTTTGCACCGGCGATGACCTTAAGCTTACTAGTATAACATACAAAACTACTTCTTGAACGTAAAAACGTAAAAAAAATGTAAGATGTTGTTTTGATTTTACTACGTACAAAATAAGTCTAATTATCCCTTACGAAAAAGAATTGCTGGCAGTGATATATTGCGGCAGCGGTACGAAAGAATTACTGGCATTTTGTGTAATTGCCAGTAATATTCTCAGTGATTCGTAATTATATTCTTGTGTGATTGTCAGTAATATTTATATTAATGACTTTATTTATATGTAATCGGCAGTAGTTCTTTTTTGTAAGGGATGCAATCTAAAATGACGAAACTACTTGATCCAATATCAATATATATATAATATATGTAATATCAATATATATATATATATATATAATTAAGTACGTAATTGCATGTTATGTTTTTCACTAATTTTCGTAGAGACTCTTACGAAAAAGAACTACTGCCGATAACATATAAATAAAGTCAGTAATATAAATTTTACTGACAATCACATAAGAATATTATTAGGTATTACAGGAATCACTGAGAATATTACTGGCAATTACACAGAATGCTAGTAATTTTGTCGTACCACTGCCGCACTATATTACTGCCAGTAATTCTTTTTTGTAATGGAAGAGCTAAGAAAACTCGAATACCTGACTGAATATATAATTGCTTTTAAAGTAGGATGGCGTAATATGTATTTGTAATATGTATGTGTAAGTGAGCACATATATTTAGATAATAGATATAGTTGTAAGTAAGCATATATTTTGTGTATAATGCTCTGTAATACTTGTGGAGCTGCACAAATCGAGGCGCTTGTAAAATCATCGAACCACGAAATCGAAGAACTTGTAAAATTACATCGATTGGTATAAAAATAATTACTTATACATAGTAAACAATAGATGTTATTATATTATGTGTCTATATTAGTCATTACAATACGATATATAAACTACATATGTTCAATACATTTAAGATTTAATTAATAATAGTTGACAGTGAGAACATAATCGAACAATCAATTTCTGTACGACTTATTAATCGATTTTTTTACATCTCTAATATAAACAAAGCATGTTATGATAGTAAAATATATATATATATATATATATATATATATATATATATTTATATAACAAATTAAAGAATACGATTTTATATAAAAAACACTTCTTACTTATAATATGATAAACTTTTATATTTTTTTTTTACTGATAAGTACTTTTATGTAAAAACTGATTTTATGTAAAAACTACAATTTATGTAAAAACTGATCTACATAATCTACGACTAACGTAATCTAAAGTAAGACAAACGTAAACATCAACGTAAAATAATATACATATTGATGACAATGTAATCTTTATTAAAGAAATCTATTGGCATATACGTAATGTTTCAATGATCAATTCAGATGCTTCCTGTGACATAATTTATAAATATTTCATTTGCTTTTATATATATATATATATATATATANTATATATATATATATATATATATATATATATATATATTTATATATTTATATACTTATATATATATATATATATATATACTTATTTAATTCTTGCGTGTTCGTTGTTAACTGATCGTTAAATTCTCGTCATAGAACTTTGTAATTACTTGGGAAAACTTTTCTTGCTCGGATCGAACGGACTTCCCACCAGAATTCATCGTTTTTAAAGACTTTTAATTTGAAAATTCTAGAACTTTTTACGAAGAAATATACATATTTATTTTTATATACAATATATATTTATTTATATACAATATATATTTTTTATATACAATATGTTGCTTTCGCGTTTATAATTTTAACTTTGTATTTTTTTTTAAGACAGAAAATGTCTCTGGACATAATTATTTGATATTTTTTACATATTTTATATATTTATAAAGATGTAACTAATTTCTTGTTTTTCATCATTGTCACTCTTTTCTTCCTGAGTCGGCGATTAAACATGTTTTTTGTATGTTATCGTTGCCGACCGAAAATGTCATCACTCTCAAGCCAAAGATTAATTGTCGCTCGTGTCCCCGTGTTGTGCTCATCTTGTCTTTCCTTCCTCTCTCTTTCTCATTCCTTCTGTCTCTCTTCCTCTCGTTCTTTGTGTCATCAAATCTCAGAACGGTTGCATTAGTTTCACAAACATTTGCCGGCTGCGCCTCCCCAAGAGGGTAGAAGAACGGAGGCCACGGACGGGAGGGGTGAGCGGAGGACAGAGACAGGGTAAAGTGCAATATTGAATTCCCGCAAGGCCCGCGGGTTCACCGCCCTCTTGACAAATCTACGTCGTCGGGATCAGAGCGGTCCGCGCCGTCTATATAAATTTAATAACACGAAATGACGTGACCTCCAAGAGAAAAAGATCCCTTCTTCGGCGCCGCAACACCACAAGAGCGCATCAATACTGCAAGACCACCGCGCTTACTTCCACACCCCTCCGTCCACGTGCCAACCCCGTCGTTCCCGCGAAGACGTTATTCGTAAAGCAGATTTGAGAAATACGATCGCGTTAGAACGAGGAAGGGAAAAAATTGGCTCTCACGACACGACGTATTTAATGGAAAGCGGAAGTGTGTCGCTCTAAAGAGATCTTTGCGAGCATGCCCGATACGTGCGGCATATGAGATTTCACGTTGTTACGGAGGGGACGGTTAATAAATGTTGCATGCATCGTCGGCCTTTTTTGTCGACGAGCGCACCCAAATACTGGTGTTGCGCATCTAAAAGGCGCGTCTGTCTGTCTCTCTCTCTCTCTCTCTCTCTCTCTCTCTCTCTCTCTCTCTCTCTCTCTCTCTCTCNTCTCTCTCTCTCTCTCTCTCTCTCTCTCTCTCTCTCTCTCTCTCTCTCTCTCTCACTCACTCTCTTTCTCTCTTTCCGTAGTGCACGCGCGATGACAAAAATTCACCGCGTGATATCGTTTCGCGCGTTCCGCGCTTCGTCGATCACCGACACAGCGCGGTACGCTTTTAGAGTGTCAGTTGCGTAGTTTTTTGCTTTGAAAGCTCGCACGCACACAGAATCCGACGCGAAATGGCACTTCCGAGCGCGCACACTGCGTGTCGCACGTTGAAACTTCAGACCGGCGAAATGATAACATCCCGCTTTTTTCCCCTTTTTCTCTCTCGCGTTTACCGAGAGCGTTTTTATTAATTGGAAGAGAGTTATCGCTCGATTCCGCGGCGACAATAACGCGGCGAGGTAAGAAGATGATTCTTGATTTTTTATCTATCATTGAATCCCACGATCCCCCGAGCATTTTTCCAACCGAGGAAAGAAAATCGCGGAAATCGATTTCCTATAATAAATACCTCCACTCGACCGACACCTCCTCCTCTCATCCCTTCAGGTCAGGTACTCGAGATCGTCCGCGCGGTGTAATTTCTCGCTGCGTCCAGCGTCGCTACGGATTATTTTATGCAAATGCGGAATTGAAAGTGGTGCTCGACGCGTCGTCTACTCCCTCCCACACCTTACCGTTGGTCCGGCCTTTATTAATTCTTCAGATAACGCGACCGAGCAGAAGAGAGAGAATTGATGAGTGGGTAGTAATCTAATTTGTGCCGTGGAATGTCTCGCGGCGCGGTTGTGCCAGCCGGCGTCTTTTTAATAAATTTACATGGAAACAGCCAGCAAGAGAGCGAATCCGCGCTGATTTTCAGTCCCACAGTAATCGTAGTCACCTGCTAGTGAAATTTTACTGCAAAACAGTTTTCATACATATAATCACTAAATATCTCTTCAACATTATACGCTCAGCAATTAAGTCAAATTGTTCGCTGGGAAAGAATTTTGTTAAAAAGAAAACAAAAAAAACACATGTACTTCCGTTTCTTTCTCTTCCAAAACTAATTTTATACACGCTACACACATCACATCCACCGCGCGACCCTTTCTAGACCCATTATATTTATGATCCCGCTGAGATACACATTGCCATATGCGCGCCGCGGCACTATATTGAATTTGAGAGTGCGCGCCGTCGGATTGGATTCCAAAGTTCTAAAAGGACGGCGTGGAAAAAGGGCGCGATGCAAATTTTATTTTCCTTCGCGATTTGCATACGCGCGAACGACGATAAAATTTCATCCGTTTACATAATGGCGTGTCGTGCAGCCGGCCGCGTAAATATTGAAGCAACCCGTTCAGTCATGACTTATCCTCGACATGCTCTCTCGTTTATTTTGTCGATCATCGTTATCTAGCATACCTAATTATGCCAGTTTTAATTGTAATATATAGCGTATAAGAATAATAAAATCGTAAATTTCGATTATTACGTTCGGTAATTCAAATAACTTGCTTCAAATTTCAACATGATTTTTCGTCGATTTTATTTTGTCGCTCTCTCTACAGTCTAGAAAACAAAAAAAAGTCTCTTCTCATAATCAGACAATTACGTGATTCAGATTTTTTTTCCGGAACTCATCGCCGCATTCTCTTGCGAATGAATCTCGTCCTTGAGATTTCCTGCGTTCGCGTTTCTGTGACAGCGCCGTCTGCAGGAAACAACAGCCACGTGGTGACTTTTACGCACGTGCAACGACGTTCTCCTGCCAGCACGACGACGGCAGCTACGTAAGCGCAACGACTCGACAGTCGGGAAACGAGAAACGGGGCGCGCGAGGCAGAGAAATAAGAAGAAAGTCGACGGGAAAAGGCACGTTACGCGTCGTCTCCACGAGGCACACGAGAGAGAATAAGCGGGTGTTACGCGCGATAACACCGCACGTACAACGTGCCGGGGCGATGCCAGCCCTGGCGGCGTCTGGGGAGATTGCCGGGCCAATAATGCATTTCGCGCCTCGGAAAAATCCAGCAAAGAGTACGTTCGACCCAGAGATTTAGTCATTTAAAATGCATAGAGTTCATAACTTATTCCCGGCCGACTGCCGTGTCGCATCCACCCCGCGCCGTTATCGCGCCCTCATCGACAACGTGTTTTCACGTGCTTGTGACTCTCGCGTTTTCTTCGTCATCGCGCGAGCGAGCGCGCGCGCGCGTCTCCTTCTCGCCCGTTTCACGCTCGAGCGTCCGTGCGAAAAACGCGACCGGGAGAAAAAAAAATAAAAAAATTCGCGATGGAAAAATTTTCCGGAACGCTCTTAACAATGGGAAATTCG